TGCTGTATACCAATAATTATGTTTTGGTCAGGTGATAATAGTTAATGCTGTATACCAAAGATTATGTTTTGGTCAAGTGATAATAGTTAATGCTGTATAACAAAAATTATGTTTTGGTCAGGTGATAATAGTTAATGCTGTATAACAAAGATTATGTTTTGGTCAGGTGATAATAGTTAATGCTGTATACCAAAGATTGTTTTTTAATATTTTATCGTTATTAGTTAGTTAGCATCAAGAAAAAGATTATGAACATTTGTACTTTAAATCAGAACACTAATACAACTCATGGGCTAAACTGCCAAATTTGGGTTTAGTTGTTCTTAATTTTAAACTACTGTAACCAAGTATGCAAAATTTAAGGCTTTTGGCCAGCCATAACTAGTAAACCCAACTCTGTCATAAACGCAAAATAGTTTGGCCATGCTCGTAGGTAGGACTCGTGGCTGCAGCCAAAATAGTGCATTTGGTGGTGTCCAATGGGGCAATGCTTTTTGAATGTGAACTCGAAGACTGGCCATTTCCTGGATCCTGTACTTGAAAGTGTAAAACTAAAATAAGATGCCATACCAAATTGGATAGAAGTTTAGTACAAAATATTGAGTATAAATGTGGTTTATACATTTCATGAAATAACAATGTTTTGGGACAACATAGGACCTATTTGTCCATCTTGGCTTTCCCATTCTCTAACCTAAGGTAAAACTATTAATAATAAATTAAAACAAAGCCAGCAAAGTTATACCACTTACAGTTATAACTAATGAAGAGTATCAAAGTATAGAGTAAAGTGTTTATTAGCTTAAGAGCATATTGTTACCATAAAAATGTGTACATTGTGTAATAACACAGTTTACAGGATTCCAATTGGGATCAATGTTTAATTCAATACATTATAATTACTTTTCTTTTACTATTTTTTTATTTATTTTCCAAATAAAACTACTCAATATTATACAAAAATTAAAGGTAATAGTGAGAAAGTAATACATTAAAAATGTTACATTGATATCATTTATAGATTTTGAAGTATATAAAACACAATATACAAACAGTATTATTTTTTTATGGGCTTTATAAGAATAAAAAGGAGAAAGAAAGAAATTAATACTTCTTACCACCAGTCTACACGTAAGTACTTTAACGTGGCTTGGTGCTGTATACTTAATACTTCTTACCACCAGTCTACACGTAAGTACTTTAACGTAACTTGGTGCTGTATACTTAATACTTCTTACCACCAGTCTACACATAAGTACTTTAACGTAACTTGGTGCTGTATACTTAATACTTCTTACCACCAGTCTACACATAA